GCTTACCTTGACGTCTGCATGGTGTGGGCGCTTGCCTGTTCGTGTGTCTGCTGGCCATGGTTCGGGTTCTTCGTGGGTTCCTAGTGAACTGGCAGAAGACCCGTTGTTTCTGGCCCAGTCTGGTTCAGTCTTGGTTGGGCCTCTTTTCGGTTGCTTGGTCGGCTTCGCTATCCCTGCCTTTGCGGCCTTGACCTGGCTGCGACACCACCATCTGTTGGCATCGAGTGCATGTCAGGTGGCTCGGCGGTTGTCGCGCAGCTGTGTGAGAGCCTCGCCTCTGACCACCTTGTGTTTTGTTGGGCAGGGTTTGGCTTCAGAAGCTGTTTTGGTTTCTCCAGAGCCAACTCTTCTGTCGCAGTCTCATTTGTTGAGTTCGGTCTCCAGGTGCCTATTGGCGGTTACTACATCGCTGGTTTCCTCTTCGGGTTTTTTGGGGTTTGGTTCCCTGGCGCCTTCCTCTGCCCTCACTTGCCTTTTTCATGGATGCCTCTGTCCTTGGTTTGGGGCTTTGTGTACAGTGTTCAACAAGCTGGTCAGAGGCCATGGTCCCCTCTCTGTTGGGCTCATTTTTTGACTCACAGTATGAGTGCAGGTGCTGTGTGTGGCATGCATTGTGGAGGTTTTGGGTCTCTCCAGACTTCACAGTCCAGCTCCTTTCAGACTGTCTTCCCATGGTTCATTGTCTCCCCCAGACACCCTGACGTACCTTGCTGGTTCCTCCTCCTCCTCCAGTCTTTGCATTTGGAGTTTGGAGTTTCTGATTTGTGTTTATCGTAATTTCTATGGTGATCAGGTGGCTGGATGTTGGTGTCCCATCTGCACTCCTCTCGGCGACATTATGGAGTCTCCTGACATGCTTTTTGCATTTCCTCACTCTCTGTTGTTCCTCTTCAGTGTCCATTTCAGATGTCCTATCTTTCCTTCTTGGTATCTTATGTTGAATATACTGTAGTCGCTTTGTATTTTGCAGCGCTGGCAGAGCCACTTCTTCTTGCGTTCAGGGTTGATACTGCCTTGGCCCAGTTTCATACACTTTCTCTGACACCTTGTCACCTCTGGCCTACTAATGTGATGTCTGAGCATGCTTGGTCTTTAGACCATATTTGTTTCTTCTTGTAGCCTCTTGCTATCTTCCTGTCTTTATCCTCTTCATAAGTTTTATATCATCAGCAAACATTGAGAAGAACGAGTCTGTTCCCTCTGGGGAAGCGTTTACATATATCAGAAACAGGATAGGTCCAAGGACTGAACCCTATGGGACTCCACTAGTGATGTCTTGCCACTCCGAGACCTCACCTCTCATAGTGACTCGCTGTCTTCTATTGCTTAGGTACTCCCTTATCCATTAGAGAACCTTCCCTTTTACCTTTGCCTGTATCCCCAACATATTCACTAGTGTCCTATGGGGTCCTGTGGAGCCCCAAAATCACCTCAAGGTAAGGTACTGTATTCACCTAGTTGTATTCACCTAGTTGTGCTTGCGGGGGTTAACCTGGTTGATACCTGGTTGATGGGGTTCTGGGAGTTCTTCTACTCCCCAAGCCCGGCCCGAGGCCAGGCTTGACTTGTGAGAGTTTGGTCCACTAGGCTGTTGCTTGGAGCGGCCCGCAGGCCCACATACCCACCACAGCCTGGTTGGTCCGGCACTCCTTGGAGGAATAAATCTAGTTTCCTCTTGAAAATGTCCACGGTTGTTCCGGCAATATTTCTTATGCTTGCTGGGAGGACGTTGAACAACCGCGGACCTCTGATGTTTATACAGTGTTCTCTGATTGTGCCTATGGCACCTCTGCTCTTCACTGGTTCTATTCTACATTTTCTTCCATATCGTTCACTCCAGTACGTTGTTATTTTTCTGTGTAGATTTGGCCCTCCAGTATCTTCCAGGTGTATATTATTTGATATCTCTCTCATCTTCTTTCTAGTGAGTACATTTGGAGGGCTTTGAGACGATCCCAATAATTTAGGTGCTATATTGCGTCTATGCGTGCCGTATATGTTCTCTGTATTCCCTCTATTTCAGCAATCTCTCCTGCTCTGAAGGGGGAAGTGAGTACTGAGCAGTACTCAAGACGGGACAACACAAGTGCCTTGAAGGGTACAACCATTGTGATGGGATCCCTGGATTTGAAAGTTCTCGTAATCCATCCTATCATTTTTCTGGCTGTCGCAATATTTGCTTGGTTATGCTCCTTAAACGTTAGGTCGTCAGACATTATTATTCCAAAATCCTTTACATGCTGTTTTCCTACTATGGGTACATTTGATTGTGTTTTGTACTCTGTATTATGTTTAAGGTACTCATTTTTACCGTACCTGAGTACCTGGAATTTATCACTGTTAAACATCATGTTATTTTCTGATGCCCAGTCGAAAACTTTATTAATATCAGCTTGAAGTTTTTCAATGTCTTCTGCCGAGGTAATTTTCATACTGATTTTTGTGTCATCTACAAAGGATGATACGAAGCTGTGACTTGTATTTTTGTCTATATCTGATATGAGAATAAGGAAAAGCAGCGGTGCAAGGACTGTACCCTGAGGTACAGAGCTTTTAACTGCACTTGGACTAGATTTTATATGGTTGACCGTTACTCGCTGAGTCCTGTTTGACAAAAAACTGAGTATCCAGTGTCCTACTTTACCGGTTATTCCCATTGACTTCATTTTGTGTGCTATCATGCCATGGTCACATTTATCGAAAGCCTTTGCGAAGTCCGTGTATATCACATCAGCATTCTGATTTTCTTCTAATGCCTCAGTGACTTTGTTGTAGTGCTCAAGTAGCTGTGAGAGGCACGATCTTCCCGCTCGAAATCCATGTTGGCCTGGGTTGTGAAGGTCATTGGTCTCCATGAAATTGGTGACCTGACTCCTAATCACTCTCTCAAATACTTTTATGATGTGCGATGTTAGTGCAACTGGTCTATAATTCTTTGCCAATGCTTTGCTCCCTCCCTTGTGTAGAGGGGCTATGTCTGCTACTTTAAGTGCATCTGGTATCTCCCCCGTGTCCAAGCTCTTCCTCCACACTATACTGAGTGCCTGTGCTACCGGCACTTTGCTTTTCTTTATAAATATTGAATTCCATGAGTCTGGACCTGGGGCCGAGTGCATGGGCATGTTTTCAATTTCTCTTTCAAAAATTTAGTGCGCTCGTGTTTATATCAGTTATATTTACAGGGGTTTGAATATCCCGCATAAAGAAATTGTCTGGATCTTCCACCTTCATGTTGTTTATTGGAGTACTAAACATGTCCTCATACTGCTTTTTTAGGATTTCACTAATTTCTTTGTCATCCTCCGTGTATGAACCTTCACTTGTACGAATAGGTCCAATACTGGCAGTGGTTTTTGCTTTTGATTTCGCATATGAGAAGAAATATTTTGGATTTTTCTTTATTTCCTGAATTGCTTTCTGTTCTAACTGCCTTTCTTCAGTTTCATATGAGTGTTTCAATTTCCGCTCGATTTCTTCAATCTCCCTATTTAAATTATTCCTTCTTTGACGGGAAATTCGTGTCTGCATAAGCAGTTCCGTTATTTTTTTCCTGTGTTTATAGTGTCGTCTGCGTTCTCTTTCTACGTTAGATCTCTTTCTGGCTTTCCTCAAAGGAACATGTTTCAGACAGACTTGATACGCTTCTGAAGTCAGTTTTTCTAGTCCTTCTGAAGGACTTGTATTACTTAGAACAGTTCCCCATGGAATGTTTGTAAGTTCCCTGTTTATTATCTCCCAGTCTATCCTTTGAGCTCTGCTCTTTCGGCCCGCCTCTCAACTGGCAATCAACTGTTTCTAACTACTACAACTACTATTTTTTTTTTAACATCACACATACACACCCCAGGAAGCAGCCTGTGACAGCTGACTAACTCCCAGGTACCTATTTACTGCTAGGTAACAGGGGCATTGAGTGAAAGAAACTCTGCCCAATGTTTCTCGCCGGCACCTGGGATTGAACCCGGGACCACAGGATCACATGTCCAGCGTGCTGTCCACTCGGCCGGCTGGGTCCATTTGTCAAAGGTTTTCTGGCAGTTCAAAAGTATGCAGTCTGCCCTCCCTACTTTTTCTCACCTAATTTTTCTCACCTTGTTCTATTAACCCTGTGGGGCAAGATTTGCCTTCACTGAACTCGTGCTGATGTGGTGTTACAAAAGTTCTTTATCTCCAGATGTTGTGCTAGTTTTTTCTCATAATCTTCTCCATCACTTTGCATGGTATGCAAGTTAGGGGCACTGGTCTCTAGTTCAGTACCAGTGTCTGTCTTCCTTTTTGAATATCAGGACTACACTCGCCATTTTCCAAATTTTTGGCAGCTCTCCTGTTACTGGTGATTTGTTATACACCATTGAGAGTGGTAGGCACAGTGCTTCTGCTCTTTCTTTTAGTATCCATAGTGAGATTCCATCTGGGCCTACAGTCTTTGCCACATCCAACTCATGCAAATGCTTCCTTACCTCCCCACTGGTAATCTCAAACTCCTCTAGTGTTGTCTCGTTAGATATTTCCTCTCTTAGTTCAGGAACTTCTCCCTGCTCTATTGTGAAGACCTGGAATTTCTAATGAGTTTCTCACACACCTCCTTGTCATTTGTAGTGAACCTATCTGCTCCTATTCTTAGTTTCATTACCTATTCCTTCACTATTATTTTTCTTCTGATATTGCTGTGCAGTAATTTGGGTTGGGTCTTTACTTTATTTGCTATGTCATTTCCATATTGTCTTACTGCCTCTCTTCTCACCCTGAGGTACTCATTCCTAGCCCTCTGAACAGGCCCTTAAGCAATAGGAAACACACCCGACCATTTCTGTCCCACCCAGGATTCGAACCCAGAATTCCGATTGCGAGTCAAGAATGAATCCGACTTTACTACCAGGATCCTTCCTTATATAAAGAAGGCAAGACACCTTGAACATTGATTTCTATAACTACATAATATGTAATTAACGGTATATAAAGTGAGTTATAAGAAACTGAAAGATCTTTTTCTTCCCCAGGTTGCTGCTCATGATGGAGAGCTGTGGGTGTCAGCAGAGGCCTTGGATGTTATTATCGACCTTTATTCTGATGACAAGACAGATAAACTGGCTCATAATACTCACCTGGTGGACAGGTTAAAGGGCATCCAGCCTCAGTTCAAATCCAAGGTGAGTATTGTGTCTCCAACTATAGGGAGATTACTCTCTGTAACACCAAGGTGAGCATTGTCTCTCTAACTATAGGGAGATTACTCTCTGTAACACCAAGTTGAGCATTGTGTCTCCAACTATAGAGAGATTACTCTCTGTAACACCAAGGTGAGCATTGTGTCTCCAACTATAGGGAGATTACTGCCTGTAACACCAAGGTGAGCATTGTGTCTCCAACTATAGGGAGATTACTCTCTGTAATACCAAGGTGAGCATTGTGTCTCCAACTATAGGGAGATTACTGCCTGTAACACCAAGTTGAGCATTGTCTCCAACTATAGGGAGATTACTCTCTGTAACACCAAGGTGAGTATTGAGTCTCCAACTATAGGGAGATTACTGCCTGTAACACCAAGGTGAGTATACTCACCTTGAGTATGAGTATAATACTCACACCAAGTGTGAGTATAATTGAGTATAATTGGACCCTGCCTGGATTTTCTGTCCTTCTGAGCGGGGCTTACTGTTGCAGGGAGTGGGTTTTTCCCCCCCCCCCCCCCCTCCTCTGCGTACGATTTGGACTTGGGTTCTGCTCCTCCCCGGGTTCGGTTCCGTCTTTCCGGTGGTTTTTGGCTACCCGCATCTCTCCGCCTGAGGTGCGGTCGGCCTTTGCCGCTTACCTCCTACGTGACCCAGAGTTCGCCTCCATAATGGATCCTTCTTCGTTCGGGTTTGGATCGTCATGTCCTTACTGGGTGAGTTATGAGGTTCCAGGGTCGTCTTGGCTTGTAGACTGCCCTTTGTTTTCGCTGGATGCTTGGGACTCGTTCTGTCGGACCCACACGTTTTAATGGCGCGAGACATTGAAGGTGGTCCAGGTTTACCTGGGGGACAATTTTGAGCATCTTAACACTATCGCTTTCTTTGGACACCCCCTCGTGTACACTTTTTTTCTCTTGTGTCCTAGCTTTGGACACTTTGGACAAGGAGGGCCCGGCCGGCCGAGCGGACTGCACGCTAGACACGTGGTCCTGTGGTCCCGGGTTCGATCCCGGGCGCTGGCAAGAAACGATGGGCAGAGTTTCCTTCACCCTATGCTCCTGTTACCTAGCAGTAAATAGGTACCTGGGAGTTAGTCAGGTGTCACAGGCTGCTTCCTGGGGGTGGAGGCCTGGTTGAGGACCGGGCCGTGGGGACACTAAAGCCCCAAAATCAACTCAAGATAACTGCTCACGTCCAATAAAAAAAAAATTGTATAAAATTCATTTTCTATCCGATTGACTTCAGCATAGTTTCAAAATGAGCGCCTTTAGAGTGTGCACAATTTGATATCAACATGAAAGATGTAACACAAAACTTGATGTCAGAACACTTGAAAGATTATAAATATGTTTTTGGCCAAAATTTTAAAATATTTGTTAAAATTCTATTTATTGTTCTATTATTATGGGACTAGTTTTAAAATGCGCACCTTTACATTGTGAACAATTTGATACTAAAACTAAAGATGTAACACAAAATTTTGTGTCAGAACACTGGAAAGATATAAATAATTTTGTGATGATGAGCTTCCAAAATTAAAATGTTTGTTAAAATTCCAGTTACTGTTCTATTATTATGGGACTAGTTTTAAAATACGCACCTTTATATTGCAAACAATTTGATACCAAAACGAGCGACATAACATGAAAATTGATGTTATCAAACTGAACGAGTATACACATTAGGTTGCGGGTGTGATAATTGGTTCTCGTTCACAGGGTAACTTTAGGCTTTGCTAAGGGAGTCACGCTGAGCTTTTGGACAATATGTGCATATACACCTGCAGGGAATTTAATTATGAACACATTGATACTAAAACGAACCACGTAGCATGAGAATTAAGGTGAGAAAACTGAAACGAGTATACACATCTTACTGATTTTGTGCGTTGATGGGTAATTTTTCCCGACTTTAGGCTTTGCTGTGGGGAGTCAAGCTTGGCTTTTGGACCTTATATGCATATACACCTGTAGGGAATTCTATTGTGAACACAATGATACTAAAGCGAGCGACGTAGCATGAGAATTAAGGTGAGAAAACTGAGACGAGTATACACATTTAGTGTCGCCGAGGGCTCGCCCGCACCGCCAGGCCTGCTTCGTGCATATGCGCGGAGCGCACGCCTGGGACGCAATACTGTTAACACTTTGGTGCACCCCGCTCGCCAGCCCTCAACTGTGCGATATGGGACCCAGGGTGTCACGGGAGTGCGCGTAAAATCTGAAAAGTGAATACTCTCTTCAACTTTGTTACCTTAATTCTCGTCCTACGAGATTAAGTTTGGTATCATTGTGTTCGCAATAGAATTCTCTATAGCACTAAATGCATATAAACTCCAAAAGCCCGGCTAATTACCCGCAGCAAACAGAGAAAGTGCGAACGAGTTACCCAGGAGCGCGCAAACGCGATAAAATGTTTCCACTATTTTCACTCTGGTCACCTCAATTTTTATCCTTGGTCTTTCATTTTGGTCTCAATGGGTTCGCAATAGAATTCTCTAGAGGAACATTAGCATATCAAATAAAAAACCTGGTCACGCTCCAACCGCCAACGAGTTGAAGACGGGCCACGCGTTAGCCGCGAGTGAGTGCTCAGCCGCCTTCCACCTACACTCCCAATTCCCGCCCTTTTCAAGCCTTTTTTTCGCAATTTTCTTCCTGGAAGGGCCTTGTTCATGATCACTATCCATCGTGGAGTAAGCGTAGATAGTTTCTAAAGCCGCAGTAAGAAATATAGCCACGGAAAATAGGCGAAATGTTCACACGTTTGAGATGCGAGGGGAGGCGACATTGGTCACAACAGTGGAGCGAAAGCATTGGGCCTACGGCATGTGCCAAGCCGCCTGAGGGCCACGAGGCTCAACAAGGAAAATGGGAAGACATCGGCGCGCATTTTAAAACCAGTCCCCAAAAAATTGGATAAAAACCTGATTTTTGGCGATTATTTAAAATGGATGACGCAATGCTGCGTCATCCCCGGAATTACTGCCAGTAAACGGATGACGCAATGCTGCGTCATGCCCGGGCGAAAGTGTTAATGAGTGTCTTTTTGCTCCTGCCTTTCTGCGGGATGTTGGTGCAGTGCAGCTCCATGTGCAGGTTCCTTCCTTGTCGGCTGCACTTGGGGCGGAGGATTTGCGAGCTCGTGGCTTTTTGGCTTCGGTCCTGCGTTTCTTTTCCCTCCTGGAGCTGTCTTTGGATTGGCTTGCGGATGTAGAGGCGCCTGGGGACGTTCCTGGATCTGACGCCTTGATCTCTGCTGCTCAGGCGTCGTCTGCCATGTTGAAGCTCTTTCTGTCAATCCTGGGGAAGCGTTGCTGCGATTTTTCACTCCGCGTTTTGCGTGTCGACAGGTGGTCCTTGCTTCCTCCTTGGAATCTGTGTGGGCCCTGGTTCTTAGGTTGTCTTCTCCATTTTGTCCTCTGCTTTTTGAGGCTTCTGCGGTTGAGCATTATATTCAGGCGGCTTCTTCCTCTTGCCGCCCTATGTCTGAGTTGTTGGTGCTCCGGGGGAACTGGGGGTTCCTTCCCGGCGGAGTTGTACCAGGCAGGGCTTGTGGTTCCGTTCATCGGGGTGGGCCACAGGTGTCGGGTTCGGTGCCGGTGCCGCTTGCGGTCCCACCTGTACCTGGTCGGTGCGGTGTTCACTCGGCACGCAGGTCGGGTTCTCGTAAGGGGCAGCGGCCCTTTCGTGGTTCGTCCCATTGACTGGGCGATGGGGGGGAGGCTTGCTCTGTTCGCTCACACCTGATCTCACGATTTGTGGGCGTTTTGGGTCGTTTTTCGCAGCCTGCAGTGGCATTGGGTGGCTCCTCCTCCTCCTCCAAGGGGTTCGGGGCTGACGGGGCAGGCTTCCTCTCCTGCGCTCCGTCAGGTCATCTTGGAGTGGGTGCACTTGGGAATGTTCGAAATGACGCCGTTCCTCAGGTGGATTTCCCGCCTGTTTCCAGTTCCGAAACGGGACTGTATGGACCTGCGGTTCATTCTGGCCTTGTCCCGTCTGAACCCTTGGGTTTCTTGCCCCTCGTTTCAGATGATCACTCTGTCCCAGGTTCGGCTTCTGTTGGAGCCGGGCGCTTGGATGGTGTCCCTGGACCTCAGGAACGTGTAGTGGCACGTCCCTATTCATTTGGGGTGCCAGGACTGGCTTGGTTTTGTTGTGGGACGTCAGTGCTACCGCTTTCGTTGTCTCCCCATCGGGTTGAATCTGGCACCTCGCGTGTTCACACGCCTTACCCAGGTCGTGGTGGCCAGTCTGCGTCTGTTAGGTGTTCTGGTGTTGGCTTACCTTGACGACTGGCTGGTTTGGGCTCCCAGTTGGTCCGCGTGTCTGCTCGCCAGGGATTTGGTGCTTTGGTGCTCGCCGGGTTCGGGTTCCTGGTGAACTGGTGGAAGTCCCGTTTGGTGCCCTCCCAGGTTCACTCCTGGCTGGGTCTTGTGTGGGACTCTCGGACCGCTTCCTTGTCTCTTCCTCCGGAGTCTCTCCTTCGGCTGCGGTCTCACCTGTGTCTGTTCCTGGGGGGGCTCCCGGGTCACCTGTTGGTTGTTTGAGGGTTTGTGCGGGAGCCTGAACTTCGCGATGTTGGTCTACCCGCTGGGGTGGGTTTGGCTTCAACGGCTGGTCTGGTTCCTTCGGAGACGTCCCTTCTGCCTCTTTCACGATCGCTAGGTTCGACCCCCGGGGGCCTTGAATTGGCTGCTGCGTCGCCGGCTTCCCCTTTGGGGTTTTCGGGGTTCAGTGCCTTGCCGCCTACCCGAGCCCTCGCTCGATGTGTTTACGAACGCGTCGTCTCTGGGCTGGGGCTTTGTGACCAGTGCTCACCAGGTCGGCTAGGGTCGGTGGGGGTCCGTCCTTCCGTCGAGCTCACAGCACGGCGCGGGAGTTTGCAGCGATGTGACATTCACTTCAGAGGATTTGTGTCGCTCACGGAGCAACGATCCGGCTCCATTCGGATTGATCCCCAGTGGTTCATTGCCT